AGAGTTCAGCAGTCGCAGGAGATCCCCAGCCTCTTGGGTAGTTACCAGGGACAGGACTGTCTAAGGGGCACAAGACACCACTGGAAATATAGAGACAAGGGAACAATTGCAGATTTCCTCTTAGGGACACTAGCTGGGACGTGGTTGGAAGGGAGACTTTGACAAGCCAGGGAGCTGGGGGTGGGTGTGGCCCCGGAAACTAGCACCAGTATCAGCTGCCGTTGGGTCAGTTCCGACTCATGGTGATCCCATGTGTGTCAGGGTAGAGCTGTGCTCCACAGGGTTTTCAGTAGCTGATTTTTCAGAAATAGATCGCCAGGCTTTTCTTCCGAGGCACCTTTGGGTGGACTTGAACCGCCAACCTTTTGGTTAGCAGCTGAGCACATTAACCATCTGCACCACCCAGGGCCTCCCTGGAAACCAGAGAAGGTCTCTGAACCATTCTGGATACTTGTTTTGTGGACGAGCATGTGTGAGTGCCGCCCCAGAGAACTTTTCTCTGCTGAACTCAGCGTCTTCATTGCTGAAATGTTGGAAACAATGTCTAAAGGACATAAAGAATTATTTATAAAAATGGTTTAAAGCTGTATTCAATTATCAGCCTCCCCTGGGACATTCTGATGTCTCTGTAAGGCCGTGTCTGGAACTGAGTTGAGCGAGAAGGACATTTTGGAAGCTTCTGTTACAAGGGGAAAGTGAACCTCAGGGTATAAGTGGGCCTCAGCCTGGCCATCCCAGAAGTGTGTTACGTGTGCAGCGTGGCTTTTGGGTCTGAATGTCTGGCGGTCAGCTCTCTGACTCACGCCCCCAAATCTGGATAAGGGTTTTACCATCTCTCCATAAAAGGAAGGTTTCTGGCTGGATCCACCTTTGACCCTGACGAGCTACCTGAGGTAGCTGACATTCCAACGGGAGGTTCCTTGTGATGCACTCGGTTGTTCTGAGGAATCAATACAACAGTGATTTGAAACCAAACAAAGAAAGAAAGAAACAAACGTGTTGCCGTTTAATCGATTCTGACTCATGGCAAGCCCATGAGTGCAGAGTAGAACTGCTCCATAGGGTTTTCAAGGCTGTGACCTTTTGGAAGCAGATCTCCAGGTCTTTCTTCTGCGGCACCGCTGGGTGGTTTTGAACCACCAGCCTTAGGTTAGTAGTCAAGCACAAACCCCTTGTACTACCCAGGGACCTAACAAAGCCATGAAGCAGGAGTTTTGAAAATAGAAAATGATGCAGATGCAAAGCATTGTGTTACGGGGCCAGCAAACTTTTCTTGTAAAGCCAGGTAGGGTCATCGCTGTGGCCGGATGCCCTGAAGCAGTGCCTGGCAGCCCTGCACCCCTGCCAGTCTCTCAGCTTTGTAAAAGCCATTCTCAGCTGGAGGTCAGCACCAAAACAGGTGGTGGGCTGGATTTGGTCCCCAAGTTCACTGTCTCCAAGTGACCACTGAAGGCACGGTGCTCATCTTTTCCTGGCGAACCCTTCTCGCTGCACTTCCTCCTTGAGTGCGCTAAGGAAGGGGGGCGCCCATGTGCCAGAGAGAAGCCCCCCACCTCCTCTAAGCACCCTGCATGCCCAAGAAGAGAGCGATTCCTCCCTTCAGAGGGATCTGTTAATTGCTTTTGGGTAAAACCTCAGAGAATGGCATTCGATGCATTCAAATGGATGCAGTTGCTTTCTTGTGTTTGAGTTTTCAGGGAGGGAGGGGCAGGCAGTACGATCCATTTTCTTACTAGATCCGTAAGGTTTTAAGATGCTCCTAGGGACAGGATTTTGAAGGGCTGTAGTTTTTCTAGTACAAAGCAGTCAGCTGTGACTTCTGGCAAGTTCTGAGGCCGGACTTCATTTAACGGGGGTATGGCCCTCACCCTCCCCGATTGCAGCAGCAGAAGGGAGTGGGTCTCTCTGCAGACACCAGAGCCAGCTGGGGGCTAGCGAGGGACGGATAACGGTGCTTTTTATTAGCCTCCAAGCAACCTGACCTACATTTGCGAGAAACGCCTGGCTAAGTGCTGGATTCAATTCGTTGCACTTGAATCCTTTCCAGTCCTGCCTGCTTTTCACCTAAAAAATCCACCACCTAGGGTTGTTGTGAGAATTAGTCAAGTAAGCATTCTCTATACCTAGTATAGCACTTCTTGAAGGAGCCCTGGTTAAGCGTTTGGCTGCTCGCCAAAAGGTTGGCGGTTCTTATTCACCCAGTAGCTCCGAGGGAGAAAGGTCTGCCGGTCTACTTCTGTAAAGTTTACAGCCAAGAAAACCCTATGGAGAAGTTCTACTCTGTCACATGGGGTCGACTGATGCCACCTAATAACAATAGTATAACACAGAGTCCCTGGGTGGTGCAAATAGTTAATGTGCCTAGCTGCTAACCAAAAGGTTGGAGATTCAAGTCCACCCAGAGGTGCCTCAGAAGAAAGGCCTGGCGATCTACTTCTGAAAAAAATCAGCCATTGGAAACCCTTAGAGAGCACAGGTCTACTCTGACACACATGGGGTCTCCATGAATTGGATTCGACATGATGGCAACTGGTTTTACTGGTATAACACTTACCTGCAGTGGACACTGAGTAAATATTAATTCCTTTCTCTTTAAAGATCACACATGTTCAAGAAGCATTTGCTACAAAAGCCTCTCTCCACAGAACTGAGGACTTGGGCGGGACCTCAGCGGTGTCCACTTCACCGCTGAACTCCGAGATAAGAAAAGCTAAGTTTGCCATATGCATTGTCAGTGTAGGTTAGCATCTGCTTATGTATATGATCTTTTCTTAGCTGCAGATATCTAAGTCTTAGAATGCCAAGTCCTGAGAAAAAAGAATGAGGTGTCACCACAAACACATCCCGTTACTCTGCCTGGTCACCTCATTCCGGTTTGACCTCTGAAGTTTTTACCCTGAATTTGGACAACTGAGTGCTTTCCCCTGTAGGAATTGCTTATAGATTTCAAGTGGTTCATTGCTGCTGCTTTGGCTCATGAAGGGAAGACTGGATATTCACAGTAAAAGTATCTTGGATGGATGAACTTCACAAATTTTCAAATGCTACCAAGTAGTCCAGTCGAATCTTTTTGAAATAGCGATAGCTGCCATCGAGTTGAGACTGACTTATGACGACCCTGTGTACAACAGAACGGAATGTTGTCCAGCCCTGCATCATCCTCACGATCGTCAGCATGTTGAAGTCCATTGCTGCAGCTATTGTGCTGATCCGTCTCACCAAGGTCTCCCTCACCCTCCCTGGCCCTCCACTTCACCGAACACAATGTCCTCCTCCAGCGATTGAGCCCTCCTGATGATGTGTCCAAAGCAAGCTAGTTAGACAGTGTTCCGTGTGATCCATAAGGTTTTCATTGGCTAATTTTCAGAAGTAGATAGCCAGGCCTTTCTTTCTAGTCTGTCTTAGTCTTGAAATCTGTTCACCGTGGGTAACCTTGCTGGTGTTGGAAATACTGGTGGCATAGCTTCCAGCATCATAGCAACATGCAAGCCACCACAGTATAGCAAGCCGACAGATAAGTAGGGAATTTGAAATAGAGTTTCCCTCAGTGATTTCACATTCCGCTCTCTGAGATGGTGTTGGCTAGCGGTGAAGCAGGTAGACATTGGGCTGGATTGCGGGCATCCAAATCCTGGCTTTATCACTTTCTGGTTGGGGAACTCAGGCAATTTACTTGTCCTAACTGTGCCTCCGTTTCTTGATCTGTTGATTTGTAGATAATAGTAGAATTTACATCATAGAGTTGTTAACCCAAAACCAAACCTACTGCCATCGAGTCGATTCTGACTTATAGTGACCCCGTAGGGTTTCCCTGGCTGTAAATCTCTACGGAAGCAGTCTGCCACATCTTTCTCCTGAGTAGCTGCTAATGGTTTTGAACTGCTGACCTTTCGGTTAGCAGCCAAGTGCTTACCCACTGCACCACCAGGGCTCCTTATAGAGTTGTTAGGTGGATGAAATCAGTTAATATTAAGCAAAGTGTTTATAACAGTGTGCAGCATATGTGTTAGCTATTTTATAGATTTGGCTTAATTTGTAACTGAAAAATTGTTGCTATAGTCAGTTTTGAGGTAAGATGCAAAATACCCTTTTGTCTTTAAATTATAAAAGTAACTCATGCTCCTTGTACAATGCTTGTAAAGCATAAAAAAGAGATTAAAGAACACCCACGATGGGACACCAGAGACAGCCACCATTAATGATTTAATCTCTTTCTCCCTATGAATTGTCATTTACATGGTGAGATTATGGTGTAAGTACAAGCCTCAGCCTGATTATTTTCACTTAATGTATATTTTAAGCATTTTCCCAAATTGTGAAAATTATTCATAAACGCAAGTTTTAATAACTGCATAATGTAATAGTATTGATCGGCCAAGCCGCGTGGTACGTTTTCTTAGTAGTGAACATTTGGGTAGCTTCTTTCTCTTGGGATGGGGGTGGGAGTGACTGTTGTCTATAGTGCCGTGATCAACACAGGGAGTCTCTGGGTGAAGTAAATGCTTAAGCACTCAACTACTAGCCTAAAGTTTGACAGTTCGAGCCCACCCAGAGGCACCTCGGAAGATAGGCCTGGCGATCTTCTTCTAAAAGGTCACAGCCTTGAAAAGCCCATGGAGCAGTCTACTCTGCACACATGGGGTCGCCGTGAGTCTGAGTTGACCTGACACAACCAGCAACAACAACCTGGACTTGAGCCATTACAGTAGTAGCCGTTAAACTATTACCCAGCTAGTCTGTCTTAGTCTGGAAGGTCCGCTGAAACGTGTCCACCACGGGTGGGAAAGCTTTTAGCATCGTAGCAACATGCAAGCCACCCGGTATGTCAAACCACAGATAGGTGGTGACTTTGAAATAGAGCGCTTTTTTTTCTAAGCCACTGCAGTAATGGATATCCGTTACTGTAATGACTCAAGTCATTTCAACAATAATGTCAATATCACCGTATTTGGCAATTAAATGACGCTAAGGTTTGGCCTTTTCTCCTCTCGTCCTGCCAGCTACACAGTGGGCACCGTCCAGGAGAACAATGACCAGGTCTGGAAGTTCCAGAGGTACTTCCTGGTGCAGGAGTACTGCAGCCGCCTGAATATTCCCTTCCCCTTTGTCGTCTTCGCTTACTTCTACATGGTGGTGAAGAAATGCTTCAGGTGTTGCTGCAAGGAGCAGAAGGTGGAATTTTCTGCTTGCTGTGAGTGGCTTCCGTTTGTGCTTGGGGATCAAAAACAGTGGTTAATTTCCAGGAAGGACGCCTGGTCCATATCTCAGCAGCAAGAAAGTACTCACTGTTGTTTCTCTGCTCACATGTGTATATCCGTAAAGATTAGGCGTCTGGTCTGCCAAGGAATTACTTAAAAGAAGGAGTCGATTAAGAAAGCGTTGTAGATATAGCAGGCTAGCATGGTACTTGTGGAATAACATTTGCGCGAACATAAAAATAAGGTAAAGAGTATATGGAACAGGCATGATTCATGGGATGAGTCCAAGACTTTACTTCTGTCTTCCGTTGCTCCTTTAAAATTTATTCTCTGGGGGATCCAGCTCTCAGGAGGGGGTCGGGGGTTGTAGCTGCGGGACTGACCTTTCTCCAACAGGCACAGCAGGGCCCGCAGTACTTCAGGGGCCCACAGAGATAGTTTAATTTCTTTGAAAATCCGAAGGAAAAAGAAAAGAACTTTTAGGTTGAAAAGCCAGGCTCTGTAGAAATGGTTTCCAATAAGATAGAAGCCACCTCTGGTCTCAACCGGGCCTCATAACCTAGGGGAGAAGAAAGAAAGCGAGAAAGCTTAACTGAGGAATGTGGGAAGCACCAGTTTGGGGGATATCAGCGGGCCGTGATAGACCCACAAAAACCCAAAGCAAACTCTCTGCCATCGAATCGCATCGGAATCATAGCGACCCTCCAGGAAAGAGGAGAACCATCCCACAGGGTTTCCAAGGAGCAGCTGGTGGATTCAAACTGCCCACCTTTGGGTTAGCAGCTGAGCTCTTAACCACAATGGCGCCACCTAGGCTCCCTAGAGGGCGCTTAAACCAGACTAGAGTGGGTCCAGGAAGACTTTCTGGAGGAAGGGGAGACCCAGGGGCTGAGCTGGAATTAACCAGGCAAAGGGCAGAGGCTGGGAGGGCCCCAGAGTGAGGAGTGAACAGAGGAGGAAACCAAGAGAGGTAAGAGAAGGGCCCCAGGGTGGAGGGATGCAGAGACTGATGAAAGGCTCATCACGTAACAGGTACTGTCCTAGATCCCAAGGGAAGGAGAAATACACTCAAAGGACATGATAGTGCAAGAAACGGTGACATAAATCATGGAACATGCATCGCAGGAGCTCTTTGCTGATTAAATTTGTCTCCTTTAAGATGGAAGTGAACAGAGAAACTTCCAGGGCCAGGTTTGGGGGTTCCTCAGATCACCATATAGTATTTTTTACCCGCTGCCGTCTAGTCGATTGCGACTCACAGCGACCCTGTAGGACAGAGTAGAACTGCCCCATAGGGTTTCCCAGGCTGTAATCTTTACGGAAGCAGACCGCCACATCTTTCTTCCACAGAGCTGCTGTTGGGTTCAAACCACCGATCTTTCAGTTGGCAGCCGAGCCTTAGCCACTGTACCTCCAGGGCTCCTCCCTGTAAAACTACAGCTCTCAAGTCAAGCTGCTCATTCTCACGGCTTGGGAAAGAGGAGTCATTTTAGGGTGTTGTGTGTGTGTGTTGCGGGAGGGAATCTTGAGATATGTTCCCCCTACTGGAGCACTTTGGGTAAAAAGTCTCTGTGAAGTGGAAGACAATGGGTGTTGAGGGCTATTTGGAAAGGGGATAACATAAGGGAGAATCCAGTGCAAATAATTAGAGGAACATGGTTAGAATGTCCTTTTCTCTGTATAGATTTTTGCCACGATGAGTTAATTTTTTTTCTGCTTTGTTCATGCCTTATTCTTTCTATTTCATTGGTTGTGCTGTGGGCAGGTGTTGTGTCTCCCAGTGGCTGCCGGGTGTGTGTTGCACTCTGGATTCTTCTTTATGGTGTCCGATACACAGTCATTGACTGCTGACGTTGGATTCATGCTCCACATTGGACTTATCGTTCTGCCCCTGTAGGGAAACGCCAAATATTTTGATGATTCAGACAGTGAAAATATAATTTTTTACTAATCTAGACATGATAATTGGTGGCAATTAAGAAGAATTCAACTTGCCAGGAACCATCATGTTTTTGTAGGATTCTTTTAGCTACTTAGAAATGGAGGCAAGATACACGTGATAGGACCTTAAATATTGGCCGTAACATGCTTGTGTGCTACCCCTGGAGCTATGATTCCCTAAAGGCTGGCTTTCAGAATGTAATTATACCAACAACCCCCAACTCCTGACAAAGTTTAAAGAATTGTTGTGGTCAACTCTTTTAACAGCATTATTTCCAGACATTAAATGTCACTTTTGGGATGTCATTAGCTATCACACATGTCATTACCTTTCTTAATGAAGAAAAGTGTTTTGACAATTTGGGTAGGTTGCTGTCTTTTCTCCCCATCATTTTGCCTTGGAAGACAAAGTGAGTCATTTCTAACTAAAAGAATGAGAAGTCTTTGTATGAGGGGAGGGGAATTGGAAGTTCAGATCTGGAATTTAATTGTACTCAAAGACCAGACCCAAAGACCAGAGGGCCAATGCCCAAGGCAACAAGATGCCTTAGGATGGTCCTAGGTCCTGACTCAAAACTATCATGGAAGAGTGTTTAAGGGGTTTGAGAGAAGACTTAGTGGATCTAGGCTGTCGGATGACATAAGTCTTACACGTTTCATTTTTTTTTTCCTGAATAGTTCTAGAGAAAAAACAAACAATAGTGGATAAAAGTTGCAGGGAGGAACATTTTGGCAGATAAGAAAAAAACAACTTTTAACAATTAGTGCTGTCTGGAAATGAATTAAGTTGCCCTGTAAGGTAGTGGGGTTCAGGACTGCGATGGGTGGATGGAGGGTTTGCTGTGCTGAATGAAAGTCCGCTCTCAAAAGATACATTGTGCTCAGTCCAAGATCAGTGGACCAGGAAACGCAGTAAGGGCAAATCAGCCCTCTGAATTTGGGTTGGGGTTGAGAAAGCAGGATAAGACACATTGCATCCCCCAAAACTGATTTGAAGATTAAGCCCAACACCTGTAACCCATTGCCACTGACTTGATTCCGATTCGTGATGACCCCATGTGACAGAGTAGAACTGCACTATGGGGTTTTCTTGGCTGTAATCTTTATGGGAGCAGATTGCCAGGCCTTTCTTACATGGCGCTGCTGGGTGGGTTTGAACCGCCAACCTCTCGGTTAGTAGTTGAGTGCAAACCATTTGAACCACCCAGGGACCGCAAATCACTCCATTTGGCCAGCAAATGGAAAGTCGCTTCATCTTGAGGAAGCAAACAGGTAGCAAAGGTCACATTGAAACATAACGAGTGAGGCTAACCTGGACCCGTCTCCCGGGGGGGCCTCTAGGGGAGTGGGTGCTCTAGTGACAATAGGAGAGAGAGGTAGTGTGATTCGGGGCATTCTCCTTCCCTCAAACAGTTCTTATTCTCAAGAAGGAACAGAGAAAAAGTGGGACTGGGAGACCATGGAAGGACAGGCTCCTTGTCCGCCCAAGGATGGAGCAGTGGTGACGACAGCGAGCGAGAGTCCGGCTTACTCACTGGAGAGTTTCCGAGGCGGCTGGTCCAGAAACCACAGCTCCCCCTTGTGGTTGCCAGTGCCTCTAGCTGGCAATTAGTTTCCTAAATGTACCTTGTATTGGCCTCCAAAGGATGGGGAAGTCATGGGATTTAATTTTGAAGTTGCCCTTCTTGGTGGAAAAACTCATGATTTTGTCAAGAACTTTCAGAAAAGGTGGAGCCCAAACATTCATCTTTGGTACTTTTGTTTTGTGACATCTTTAAGAATAATAAAAATGTATATTACCTAATGGAGCCCTGGTGGCACAGTGGTTAAGAGCTCAGGCTGGTAACCAAAAGGCCGGCAGTTTGAATCCAACCAGTGGCTCCTTGGAAACCCTGTGAGGCAGTTTTACTCTGTCCCATAGGGTCTCTATGAGTCAGAATTGACTTAGCGGCAGCGGGTTTGGTTTTTTATATGCTACCTGATACTTGCCTTTTTATAAAATATATTATTTTTCATGATTAAAAAAGCAATACGTATTCATTATGTTGGGTGCTGTCAAGTTGATTTCAACTCACAGCGACCCCATGTGACAGAGTAGAACTACCCCATAGGGTTTCCTAGGCTGTAATCTTTACGGGAGCAGATCACCAGGTCTTTCTCACGCAAGGCCACTGAGTGGGTTCAAACTACCACCCTTTTGGTCAGCAGCCAAGCTCCTAACCATTGCGCCCACAGGGCTTTTTGCATATTCATTATAGAACATTTGAAAAATACAAAACACCAATAAGAAAGAGTAAACCAAACACCCATTGCCGTTGAGTGGATTCTGACTCATAGTGACCCTATAGAACAGAGGAGAACTGCCCCATAGGGTTTCCAAGGAGCCGCTGGTAGATTTGAACTGCCAGCCTTTTGGTTAGCAGCTGAGTTCTTAACCACTGTGCAACCAGGGCTCCAAGAAAGAGTAAGAGCACGTGTAACCCACCATCTAGAGACAAATATTGCCAACAATATTTCTATTATGCGTATATTCTATTAGTCTTGTGCGGGTGTGTAATAATTGGATCACTCTGTGCACACATTCATAACGTCATTTGCTCATATAACTAAAAATATATTGTGAACATTTTCCATATCTACAAATATAAATCTACATTGCAATTTTTAACTGTGGAATATTCCAGACTATGGATGTGCCATAATTAATTTAACCAATCCCTTGTGGTTACACATGCTTTGACTCTTCTGTTAGCATATAACACTGTGATGGGAAGCTTTATGCATTCATTTTTGAGCACCTCAGTAATTATCTTCCTTTGAGAAGAGAAATTTCTAGGTACAAGGTATGTACACTTTTAAGATACACTCCCCACTGCACCATTCTTACCCCTTCTTTCCCATTTGGCCTCATACTCTCCCCCCAAGGCTGTAAATATTTACAGATTTTCCCCCAGTATTTGAGAGGCCCATTTCTCCATATCCTTGCCAACACAGAGTGTAATATACCTTGCTAATTTGCATTTCACCTTCCATGAGATGGATTGACACAATT